ATCAAAAATGATTTTCACCTTAAACACTGGTTTATGTGCAACACTATATGCCGCTTAAATAGATTGCGTAGTTGTTTTTCCAAGATGATGTGCCCTACCCAACTAAATGACATATGTTGTCACTACAATTGCACAGCATGGTTTAACTTCTTTACTAGATGCCACAGAATATGACTGACTCAGGTGTATCACTGCAAATGTAAACCAACCACTGTCTGAAGTTGTCTTTGTGGGCCTCCTGTGTCTAATTGCCCAACTGTTCAAATGTGAAGAGCCACCCCTTGGAACAAGACAGCTCTTGCATTGACAATCCCAATAAGCATGCTTGTCTCACTTCGGTTCTGCCTCAGCGGAATCACTGGGAAGTTCATGTGCTAGGCAGCATTTAATCTACCAGGGGAAGAAGGGACACAGAACTGTGATCATGCAAATGCAGCTGCATGAAAAATTCAAGAACCAAATGACAAGCCCTGGTGTGCCGATGCTGACAGAGGAAGGAAGAGAGGCACATCCCGGGGAAAAACATGACACTCCATGGAGAATTGTGAAAGCACAGTCTCCGCCTGCCGCCTCAGGTAAGTGGGGATATTGTCTGCATTAATGTGGCCTAGCTTTGATGCTTAGGGAAGAAAGAACTGCTGGGGATGACAATAGACACTAAAGAGTCACAAGTCCCCCGCTTTAAAGGAACATTGATTGTACAAATGCCATTTGGGATGTCAAACGTGCACAGTGTTTAGTAGAACATCCCCCCCGCTGCATGGAAATGAGACAGGCTCCAACATGTGGGTTCCAATACGTCTTTGAACACAGCCACTTTGTAACACGGCTGATGGCGCTATTTGTTGAGTGTCTAAGGTTTTCTTGTGGAATAGCATTAGATCACAAAAAGCTGTTATCCCACTGGTTGCCTTTTTGAAATGGGCCATGACAAATCTTTGAAATTGCTCACAAATTTTATGTCCAATTGCTGACATTTTGGAGCTTGTTTGCACAGATTTCTATTCAAGTGATGCCCCGAGGAGGGATATCATATCTCTCGCTGGCGTCCGTGGGAGAATCATCAGCCACTCTTGACCTCGAGCATGAGCCGTCCTCATGCTGAATCCTGTGAGACCTTGGACTGCCTTACAAAACCCCAGGACAGAGAAACCATTGATTACTTCTCCTCCCTCTATTCAGCCTTTAGACATACAATATCTGAGCACCTAAATCAGATATTTCTAGTTCAGAACCATCCTTCATCACAAACCTTACGCTCTGTCTTTGCCATCATGTGAATTCCTGTATGCATGTGATGTCACTGATTTGGCAAATCCCCCCCACATGCACAAGCCCCGATGAGATGACATGGACCTCTGTTTGACTCCCATCTGATGACCTTTTGGTCCTATCCTCAACAGGCAAGAGCCGTCATAAAGAAGGAATTGATCCACACAAGACCCACCGACTGCAGCACACACGTGCATGTGTTTGTGTGTATCCACAGTGCCATGAACCTCAGGGCCACGCTCACTCATGACTCAGTGACTCACCCAACTACTGTGCCATCCTAACCCCGATTAGCCCCCCAGGATGTGTGGGAATGTGGAGTCAGCCTATTTCCCTTGGGCTTCTACTAGAGAGCTTGTCCTTTGCTTGGTGAAAGGGTAAATTAAGGTAGTGAGGTTGTATTTAAGTTCATATTTCCCTTGTGTACGAGAGAGGAGACCAAGGACATGGGACATTGATCGCCCTGAGTAAATGTTGTCCAGTCGGAAAACAGCTATTAAATGAGAAAAGTATTGGTCTTACTTCCAACACCTGTGCTTCACACCCTATGAGATAGGAGAGATCAAAGTAAGAAATTAAGATATTGTATCTAGTTTTAAATTAAAACATCCAGAGGAAAACTGGAGATTTTTGGCCATGAAAATACATTTGACTTGACCTTATGGTTGCACATAACTTATCAAAGAGGCATTATCAAGTTACCATAAGTGGAACTGGTCTCAGCTTCTAAACATCAGTGGTACTGCTATTAAAGAAACACCATTTCAGCCATCAACTGCCTCCTGATTTGCAAAGAGAAATGACAGTATGATCCAGTTCTTTGAAAAAGCTCAACGGATCTTGGAAATGGTTAAACTGACCTTTGTACATGCTTTGCTAGTGACTGGAACTTAATGAACAGGAGGACCTCGGTGGATTTGATGGATCTGTGAATGCGGCGCAGCAGCTGATGGCCTTCCCAGGAGGTGGAACACTTCAGTAGCAGGTTCAATAGCTCATTACCATGCAGTCCCTCTGGATAATTAGTGAACAGTGGGATCCTGTCACAGGGACAAATAAACATGTACTCTCCTTCCCTATCAAGATGCCTTTACTGGTTCTAAAACCGTATACATTAATGTCAGTTTCTACTTTAATGGTATACTATAGAGCCCATCTGGTAGTTTTTTATTGGGCTGCTACTAATTTTAACACTAACATTTGAGTTTGTTTATTTAATGTTGGTTTGTTTTCTACATACTTGTGACACCAATATGTAAGGTTTGTGATATTTTACAGATTAAAAACCAACTTGCCTGTGTGCTTTGTTTTGACAAATGGAGATGCTGGTAATGTTTCTATCTCTGGATGGACTTAACAGGCTGCATATTGAAAGCACAATCACTTTCATTATGCATGCAAAACAGAATAAAATTGGCCTAAAATGGAATCTGAATCAGTGCCAAGATGACTGAATGATAAAGCAGCTGATACTGAGATAATAATTTTACTGAATCATGTGTGTTTGGGTTTTTTGTACTGAAATGTATTGTTACTTTTTTATTGACTGACTCCATTATATTATCAGCAATAAGAAAATATCACCCAATGATTTGCTTATGTACGTGCAATGCTCCATTTAAATAAGAGCAATTAGAACGCTTGATTAGTTTAATTGATCATTTAGTAACTTAACCAATATATTGTTATGATTTTGTGTGTGCTATAATCCTAAAATGCATTTCAACATGTTACTCTTCAAAGATGTACCTGAACAGGGTTTAATGGATTACTGCGGGCATGTTTTGAGGTTTCAGAATAGGCCCCTTTAACCTATCTTCCAGAAATAACATTTAGATGTTTCTCAATTTTGGGGCAAATATTTGCTCCCTATTCAATATAATGAAATGGAATCTTCAGTAGAATTTGTTTTTGTTTAAGGAAGTGCTTAATTTCCCCGCAGCAGGCAAGTCATATGGAGGTGGACGTGAGGTGCATAGTGTGCATAAAGGTAAAAGTAGGTTAACATCATGTTTTTTGTTGATTGATAACAAAATAAACAGGTCTTATGCACTTTGTGGTGTCTTTTGCTGTTTCAAGACCCGGATCTGTACGTAAACCATAACTTAATGCAACATTAAGTTATGGTTATTTTAAAGCGGACCTACAAATAACAACATTAACAATGATTTAGTTGCTGTGAGCACATATTGACTTTGAGGAGTAAAGTACTTGGACAGTAAAAAATAACATTTGTACTGTAGAATATGTTTATTACAAATATTTCCTCATTCAATTTCTCATTTTATTTAAAAAACAATTGTTCCACATGTATTTGTTCTATAGCGTGTTGTAAATGTAATTTATGGGAGATGTGATTGTACCCTGAGTTTAGATCCATACATTTTAACAACATACGTACATCTCAAAATTACCCTTTTTCTTTGTCAATATTAAGATAAAAGGATGTTTGACCCTGCTCATGCAGCCCACCCAATACAGAAGCACAACTGTTCAACGATAATGAACTAAAGAAACAGCTTGAAGCTGAAAAGAAAGTATGGCTATCCACACACCCACTATCATAACTATGCTATCGCACTTCTTGTGTGCATTGTAACATAGATTTCCACCTGATAGTTTAGCAAGATGCTTACAGCAAAGGCACAAAGGTCATGTTTTGCTTTGATTATCAGTTTGTGTCACATTACTCATCCACAGCCCCCGGTGTCTATATGTTTAATCAACACAGCTGAACAGAAAACACTTCCTGAGTGAAATTAAAGCAGCATCAAAGCATTTGAAGTCGACAGAAATGTTATAATCACCTAGGTTTTGTTTCCTTCTTATGGACAACCCTTTAAAGGCTTTTTGTTGTGTTGCTCACATAAGTATGTAATATCTCATTTAATTAGCAATAAGCCATCTGACAAACAGGCATATGGTCCTTGTTCTCCCACGGCCTTGGCCAAGGAATGAATAACATATCCTGGGACCCCAGGAGCTTGTTACCCTGGAATGAATTATACACAAGCCTAAACCCTGATCTATTATTTACCCCTTGACCAAACATGCAAGTGGGGCTCGCAGACGCTTGACTGGGATTCTGCTGCCTCTCTGAACCCAGTGGAGGAGCCAGGCTGAGGCAGTCACTCTGAGGAGCTGCATGTCTCTCTTTCTGCTCAGCTCTATCTTCAAACACACACATAACCACACACTCCTTCAACTCTTCACTCTTGAGATGTCTCAGTCAAATGTTGAGCAAATCCTCACAACAAGCGCACAATTAATCTTTAATGAGCGCACCCACTTCTGAGGGACACAAGTTAGGAAATCAGTGTCACATCCCTGCAGTACACACACAAACCATAAACTATTTCCAACTGCTGAAAACACGTGTTCGTGTGTGCACGCGCATGAGGAGTGCGTGTACTGTAGCTACCCCTGAGGGTAGGGAAAGTGAAAAAAGTGAACGTTTGCTTTATGCAAGAGAAATGCAGCTTGTTCCCCCTTAAGTTGCTGTAATACAGTTTACAAATTGAAACAGAAATTAAATTGCTTTACATTTATTTGTTGTTCTTTATTTGCCGTATAGATGCAGTTTCTTACAATATTATGTGGAAATGTAATTTTAACCACAATGCATCTGAACTAAATGCACACAGAGGGAAAATATCACTGATCTGTTGCTGTTTTTCAAGTGTTTCCATGGGCTGTAAATGCGGATCTCATTGCCGATTTCCTATCTTCAGGATGAGAATTGTTGGCACGTTTTTGTCGTTGACACTTCCTCCTGAGACATCACCGTAAATCTGCTCATTGGGCACAAACACTCCTTGGACCGACAGTCGCTCGGGTTACAGTCGCACGGCGTGTAAAACTCAGGTCTGAATCTACAGCACCTTCTCTCAGCCCGGACCGTCCGCAGCTCTGCGCTGACTCTGCAGAAGGAAACCATCGGGGGAGTGTATGAAGGCGTTTTTTAAGCGTTTTTCTCAAGGTATGACAAGCAGTTACAAGACGGCTTCTGGTTGTCAGCGATCCCTTCTGTTTCCTTCACTTCTTCGGTTTACGGTTTTGGGAAAAGAAGAGGGGACAAACTGTCGTGGTCGTGCGTTCCTCTCCGTGAGACCGACGCGTTTCCAAACGTCTTGACGCGCGTTTTTCTCAGAGAAGGACCCGGACACTGGTTCTCAGGATAAAAAGAGTGACTGTTGTATAGTAAAAACTGACATTAACGGCTAAGATACGTTTGTGAAAGAAACACCGACGTTGAATCACCTCACACTGCGCGCAGGATTGAAGAGGAGAAAGTTCCCCACTTGAGGGCGAAATCCGACTTTTTTGAGGACGCCAAGTTTGAAAAGTGCCAGGAGCCCCGGGGTCTTTCAGATACAACATGCAGCAATGGTAAATAACATTTTCCTGCTCCTGCTTACTCAATTTATTAAGTCCTAACACACCACTTTTATAAGTGAGTAACTTTTTTAAACCTCTGCACTGATCTGTTATTTGAACTCATCAGATTAGATACAAAGTCTTCCAGAGTACTTTATTTCCCTCTTGTTTCTGATTCTTATGACTCATCCACTGGATTTGTTAATACGTCTGCTTTCAAATGAAATTATTTCTTCTGCTGGTTGGGATCTTTTCTTTCTCTTCTATATGTGTCTTACAAAATCAATATGTGTGAGCATATACAGACACACTACAAAACGAGACCTAAAACCTTAATCTTCTGAACTAAGTTAATAAAGTATTACTTCACTTAATATAGTTTTCGTCACGCCTTGAAATAATTACTCAATTCTCTGCTCCCCAAAGGAGGATTCAAAACGTTTACATGACATTAGGGGGCAAACTCCAGATACAGAGTAAATCATTGTTTAATTGTTGATATTTACGTTGTAAGCAACTCTATGCTACCTGTAGATTCTGGCCTTCACATGTACAGACCCATGCAAACCACTGAATGATTCAAGGTCATTTACTGCAGTGTCTTCAGATAGCATTCACAGGGATGATAAAAATGTGTTGTCTGTTTATACTTAAATAAGAGTGAGCAGACTTAATTTCATAGCTGGCATCAACATTTGTCAAGTTATTTTTTTTAAGGCCTAAAATCCCTTTGCTGAAAACCCTGCTTCAGCTTTCAACAGGATTCCTCCTTTTCCTGTTTTTCTGTGACAATTTTATGATTTTTTAAAATGTATTTACTGTTTTTTTTCCCTGTTGAAATGTGCTCTGTTTATAGAAGTCTTTATCAGATATCATACAAAAACAGACAAGTTTGCCTGTGTTAGATTGCAAAGAAAAGCTTCAGGTAAATACATCGTGGCATTGTACGATGCTATTTTTGGAGCCTAAAAACACTACAATCTGACAGAATTCTTTGTTAAATAAATTTGATTTGAGGCCCTGTGCTGCGGTAACTATCCAGGAAAACTCTTTTGGTCAACGTGTGACAGTGAAACACAAGCAGAAGCACACCGAGGCATTTCATGTCAGGGTAAGACATTTCATTGTGGACATGAGAGCTTCAGGAGACAGGGAAGACGGAGGGAGAGGAGCAGAAAAAGAAAAAACAGTGAGAGAGAGATTGAGATGAATGGCCCCACTTAAAAGCAGCAGAAAAGTACCTACACACTTTCATCAGTGAGATGTGTGTGAGATTAATGTCTAGCACAGTATTTTGGCCTGGTCTTGAGTGTGTGTAAGGGATGTTTCATGAGCCTGAGCCGGTGCTGCTTCTACACTGAACAATGCCAATTTACATTCCTGGAGTGTCATTTCATTACTTTTATCTCCGTGCTGCTTTCTCCCTGCCAGGCCAGTCAGGGATCAGTGCAACTCAAATTGACTTTTTTACCGCACAAGTCACAGAAACTAAAATCCCTGTATTCCCATGTATGTGTTTGTTTCTGTTTCTCTTTTGTACGTCAGATAATTAAACACTTATTACGCTCTTATTGGCACAGAATAAGTGCTGGTGTGTTGCAGGAAAATACATAAAATAACAGCAGAAAAAGGTTGGAGAACAAAACATAATGAAGAAAATGTCGAGGTAAATGTCCTTGTTATGCACTGACTAGACTCAGCCTACAGCGCTGCTACGTGAGGTTAAAGAAAAAGTTAAAGTTGTCAGCGAGGCTGCAGCTAGGTCGTGATTCCTCTGGGTCTGTGGGAATCAGAGAGGGGAGAGTGTGTGAGAGGGTGTGTGTGTGCGGGGTGGGAGACAGTGGTTAGTCGGTTCAATAATCTGCTGGACAGGTAGGCCTGTGACGCCCCCCTTAGAGAGGCTGCTAATGAAGAGAAAGGCTGCTTAGTGGTGCTCCGCTCTGACCCCTCCACCCCCCCCCCCTGTCCCCCCTGCTGGCTTCCTCTGATTACTGCTCACATCCACAACTCTGCCCTCCTCTTCTTCCTCCACTCCATCCTCCACATTTCCCCTGATATTCTTAAACCCTGCCTCTTTATTTGAAAAGAATGGGGGCTAAGTGTATAAAGGGTGTCCTGATGACCCATTGGGATTTATATATGTTCTGCTCTTGTTTTTATTTGTGTATTCTTGTTAATGTCCATATTTTAGTGATTCATTTTCTACTTGGCCTTCTCGTTCACTTCAGACCCATTTTCTGAGTAATCTTAGTAAAGAGGAGGCTCTAATGTGAAGAGCTTAACTCCAGCAATGCGCAGGTGAAAGGAAATATGTGTTAGAGCAGGAAGAAAAAACAAACAAACATTTATTTTAGATGAAGGGAGAGATGTACTTTCACTCACTGCTGCAGGTCTCCCTTGAAAAAGAGATCATTGATCTCAATGGGATTTTACCTGGATAAATAAAGGTTTTGAATTTGAATTGAATTTAAATTTGACTCATGCTTACAGGTTTAGATTGGCAGCCTCAAAAACATCCAAGAGAGGTTCATGCTGCACCAAAAAGCCTCTGCTCCTCTCCATCTGTCCTCAGTCCCAATAATCTCTCGAGTAACCGCTAGTGTGTCTTGGCAGTGACAGAAAAGGTAATATTTTGAGAGGGGGAGTGGGGTCAGATACCTAGTGGTGGCTTGAGATGAAAATCTTGAACAAGATACGGTAACCCAAGCAGCAGGCTGCAGCGACTAAACAGAGACACTGTGAAATGTTCAAACAAATTGGATGGCAGGAGTCCTAATTTAATAAAGAGCATAGTGTGAGACATACTTGATTTAAAACAATATACATATAGTAGACATAATTACATTTGTTGTACCTCAGCACACAAAGCAAGAAACTAAATATTCACACACTTACACTTGTGAAAATTCTCCAGCGTCCTCCAAATACATGATTAAAATAAGTGAGTGTTCCTGTGATTCTTACGTCAAATAAAGTAGAAAAGGTAATGAATAGGGTTAACAGCTGTTATGAAATGTATATTTAAGATGTGTTTAGTTTTGTACTATCAATGATGTTAATATCTCTATAGTTTTATTGTACCTAAATGAATGTATTTTCTCTGTACTTTACATTACAATCTGGCTCTGTGCTCCAAGCTGTGTTTAAACTGTAAACTGATACGTGTACTTACATGTGTTAAATTTTTTGTATAATTTTGTTTTCTATGGGGTTCATTTCACATGCTAATCCTAACACTATCATATTTCTTAAGGAAGGAATCAGCGAAACTTTGGTCTTATTACGTGAACACACCCAGTGTGTGCAGAAGCCACACACTCCCTCGCTCTTTATTTGTTTAAAGTGAGAAATGATAGAACACATTTTGCACAGCTCCGCCTTTAGTAATACACCCTCCGCTGCATTTTTCACTCGTCCCAGACACGGTCATGATTCTTATATTTTCAGCTGTAATTTGGGGTGGCCTTAATTGATTCCGTCCAGAACTAATTACCGGCAACTGTGTAAAATAAACACTTCAGTGTCACTGGGTGGCAACTGTCCGATCGGTAGGGAAATTACATTTCACTTGTAATCCATACGTTCTGCAGCACGGCAGGAATATAATTCATGTCGACGCTATAGAAATACCAGAGACGCTGGACTTGTGTAACGAACAGGAGTATAGTTGTAACCAAATGGCTCAGTTGGGAGGTATAGGGTTATGTGGTATAATTTATATTTTATAGCTCCCTCCTGCACTGACTGCACTCCAGAATAAAGTTGTTCGATTTTGTTCCATGAACAGTGAGTGAGAAAATCTGGGATTTCGCTTTTGATGGAAACTCCAGATACCACTTTATTCCTTGCTTTCTTCTTGTATTTTTTATTTTCCTGTTGAGTCTCATTTCTTGCTTCCAGATAAAAAAGACACCTAACTGCTACAGTTACAATACAGAGTGTTTATGTGGATGTTGTTTGTGTGCTTTTTTGTGGGGGGGTCTGCATCAGTGGCCCATGCTTCAGTGATTCAAAAGGCATGGAAAGATATCCTCAGGCCATACAGAGTGATTTGATTAAAAGTGAATAATTTGCCCTAAAGGTGTCTTTTCTCTTCTCTCCCAAAAAGCTAGTGGAAGAAATCTGATATGACAAGATAAGTGGTGGCTCATGAAAAATTCCTGAGGACTGAGACGTAGCATGTTGACTTTGGAATTATTGCCCTAAGTGTCTAGTTCTTTGCTAGCAACTGTGCCTGACAATGTTATTTTTACCTGAGTTCATTCCCTGGGTTCTAAGTCCCGATTTATCTCGTTTAAAACCTATCCAAAGAATGGACCAAATACATTTCCTGATTCTTTGTTTACCTTACATCAAAGTATTCTTTAATTGTAAGGTACCAATTAGTGTTAAAAGAGAGTGGAATACCAGTTGGAAAGGAAAAAACGTCTCCTATAGTTGTAAGCAGGGTTTTTGGGCTTATACATTATACTTGGGGGGAGGGCGCTGACATTGCATGTAATTGCTCAGCCAATCAGGATAAGCCCAAAAATGTCTCAACTCAATACCGGTAGCAGAAATGTCCATCATAGCCAAGTGTACACATGTTTTAGTAACTGGAAAAGCAGTACAAGTGATATGATTACCTGCGTTCAACTGTGGGCCTGCTGATGCAAGCAATGCTTCCCTTCCTGATCCAATATTATCGTGGCAGCAGGTGATGTGTGCCAGGTTGCAGTGATGTCTGCCTGAGCACAGGGCAGGTAGGCTGCTTTTAGGACCACATATCGGGGCTTCCACTCCTTGTAAAGACCACTCCTGCACATAAAACATTGGTCTTTCCTGAATGACAAAAGCACAACATGAACATGTCATAATGTTAATTCACAGGAGTGATTTGGCCTGTTTGCAAGAGTGGACGGTGTGTTACTTTTATTTTTGTCCCTGAACAAATTAGCTGACATAACTTCAGGCAGTACCACGTAGGTTTTCTTCATTCTACTCAGCCATTAATACTTTAAGTATAATCTGAG